GGGGGGGCCCGGCCGGCCCTTCCTGCGCTTCGAGGGCCGCAGCTTCAGCTACGGGCGGGCGGAGCGCGAGAGCAACCGGGTCGGGCAGGCGCTGCGGACGGCCGGGCTGAGCGGCCGGACGGCGGCGCTGCTGGCCGGCAACGAGCCCTTCTTCGTCTGGGCCTGGATCGGGCTGGCCAAGCTGGGCGCCCGGCCCGCCTTCCTGGGCACCGCGCTCCGACCGGCCGCCCTCCGGCACTGCCTGCGCCAGTGCCGCGCCCGCGCCCTCCTGGCCACGCACGGTGAGCGGCTCGCCCCCCCCCGGCCCTCCCCTCCCCTCCCCTCCCCACGCGCGGAAGGGGGGGCTGGGACTTCGGCCGGGGAGGAGGGGGAATGGGGAGACCCCCCCCACGGGGGGGAGGGAGGGAAGCAGGGGAGGATGGGCTGGAGAGTTCCCCCCCCCCCCGCGCGGGACTTCAGCAGGGGAAGATGGGCTGGGGAGTCCCTCCCACACAGGACTTAAGGGGAGGAGGGGCTGGGGAGGAGGGGCTGGGGAGTCCCTCCCACGCGGGACTTCAGCAGGGGAGGATGGGGCTGGGGAGGAGGGGCTGGGGAGTCTCTCCCACGCGGGACTAAAGCAGGGGAGGATGGGCTGGGGAGTCCCTCCCACGGGGGACTTCAGCAGGGGAGGATGGGGCTGGGGGGGATGGGCTGGGGAGTCCCCCCCACGCCTGACTTCGGCAGGGGAGGATGGGGCTACCTCTGGAGGGAGGAAAGCAGGGGAGAATGGGGCTAGGATGATGGGCTGGGGCACCCCGCCCCCGCGGGGTGAGCAGGGGAGGATGGGGCTCGGATGATGAGACTGGAGATTGTACAGGTGGGCCCCTCCTCCCACTCTTGACCATCAGCAGGGGAGGATGGGATGGGGGATTCCTGGCTCCCCTGCATCTGGAGGGAGGGGAGCAGGGGAGGATGGGTCAGGAGGCCCTTTGGTCCCCTCCTTCCTGCTCTTCCTTCCTCCCTCATCCCAACAACCCTGCAAGGGAGGCCAGGCTCAGGAGCAAAGAGGCTCACCCAGCCTCCCCGATCTTTGCAGAACTCTTCGGAGCCGTGGAGCCCATCCTCCCCAGCCTGAAGGAGATGGGCGTCGGGGTCTGGGTGATGGGGAAGGGGCCCTATCCACCGGGCGTGATCAGCCTGGAGGATCTCCTGGAGGAAGCCTCGGACGAGCCCCTGCCCTACGAGCTCTCCACGCCGCGCCACCTGATGGACACCTGCCTGTACATCTTCACCTCCGGCACGACAGGTGTGTGTGTGTGTGGGGGGGGGACAGAGGCTTTTGGGCGGGGGGGGGGCTTTGGGACGGGAGGGAGTCAGGGGTTGGGGGTTTCGGGAAGAGGAAGTCTAAAGTAGCACCTTGACACCACAGTTGTGTGTCTATGTTGCCTTAGTTTGTTGTGCTACTTAGTTTAAGGCAGAGAGTTTCGCGCCGAAGTCATAACGCAAATAAAATGTAGCAATCGGGTGTTTTTTAAAATCTGACGCCTTTTTGTTCCTTTTCTCCTCTTTCCTTTCTTTTCCTTCCCTTTTCTCCCTTTCCTTTCTCCTTCCCTTCCCTTCTTTCCACTTATTTCACATCCTTTCCTTTCCTTCTCCTTTCCTTCCTTGCTTCCTTCCTTTCCCATCTACCTCCCTCATCCCCTCCCTTTCTTCCATCCCTCTTCCCTTTCTTTCCTTTCTTTCTTCTTTCCTTTCCTCCTTCTTTCTTGCCTCTTTCTCTTCCTTTTCTTTCTTCTTTCCTTTCCTCTTCCATTCCTCCTTCCTTCCTTTCTTTTCCTCTTTCCTTTCCTCTTTCTTTTCATTCTTCTTTCCTTTCTTTTCCTTTTCTCATCCCTCCCTCCGTTTCCTTCCTTCCTTCCTTCTCTCCAGGCCTCCCCAAGGCTGCCAGGGTCAGCCACTTGAAGACCATCCTTGCCCTAGGATTTTACAAGCTGGTGGGGGCCCGCAGCTCGGATGTCATCTATCTGACCCTGCCTCTGTATCACATGGCCGGCAGCCTGTTGGGCATCCTTGGGACATTTGGGCTTGGTAGGGTCCAGGGGCTCTGCTGGCTACTTGAGTCATTCAGGCTCTTTCTCCTCTCGAGAATTCAGGGGTAGACTGCTCTGGGCTGTGGAGGCTCCACGTTGCGCTCCTGCTTCCAAAGCCAAGGGTGGGGGGGGAATTCCCTTTCCGTCCCAGAGACCACAATTCATACCGCTAAGAGTTTAAGGAGGTGAACCTCCCTGGCGGTTCGATGGGGGGGGGGGGGAGAGAATGAAAGGACGGCTTTCTTTTCCTGAGGCCTAGAAACTTGCTTTGTTTTGGGTATTTTTTGGAAAAAAAGGAGAAATAAAAGGGGGTGTGGCTTGCTGTTTCTTGCCAGGGGCCACCTGTGTGCTGAAGAAAAAATTCTCAGCCAGCCAGTTTTGGCCGGACTGTCGGACTCACGGGGTGACCATCTTCCAATATATTGGGGAGCTTTGCCGCTACCTGGTTAACCAGCCACAGGTAAGAGCCGAAAAGGGTGGGGCCTCTGGGATTTCTCCCGTTTTTCCACCTTTATTATTATCATTTGAACGTTTGAACGAATTATTTATTCACCATTGATTGACTGATTGTAATTCTGGCTGAATGGCTGACCATGGTTCATTTTTATTTATTCATCTTTTAAGATGTTATTGTCGGCCCTCCAGAGTTACTTTGTGGAGTCGTGAGATGGACAGTGTATAAATTTAATTTAATTTAATAAATAAATAAAAGGGGCCGCTATTGCAAACGACTTCTGCATCGTACTGGGCGGGGAATGACACTCCCTCCTCAGCGTGGTTTCCCTCCCTTATTAAAAGAAAAAAGCCCTCCCGATCCATCCGCAATCAAACCCGGAACGATTCCTACTAACATTTGGCGACCGCAAAGGGTCCTTCCCAGAGAAAGTCTCCCTTTTCGCTAGCCAACGCAGCCCGTTGTCGGCTGTGCCCGTTTCAGCTTGCAAGAGATGCCAGGCCCTGTTTTGTGGCACCGTGTTCCTTCTCCTTTCCTGCAGAGCCCGGATGATCGGGAGCATTCCTTGCGCTTGGCCGTGGGCAGCGGGATGCGGCCGGACGTCTGGCGTGAATTCCTCCGCCGCTTCGGAAACATCAAAGTGGTGGAAACGTACGGCATGACCGAAGGGAACGTCACCCTCTTCAACTACACCGGCACTGTGGGGGCCGTGGGGCGCGGCTCCTGGATTTATAAGGTGGGCATTGTGACATTCCTGGAAAAGCTGCCTTACCGCTATCCGACTTACATCGTCATCTCCTTTTAACGACTCCATAATCTCTTGCGGCATGGAATCTGGGCAAGTGAATGGTAGTGAGTGTTTTTACTGGCTGGATGCCCTTCTTGTTGCCGATGAGGAGTTTTGTGCAGCAGATAATATTCTCAACGTGCCCAGAGAGAGAAATATCTGCCTCTACCTAGGATCGAACTGACAGACTTCTGATTGTGAGGCAAGCAGCTCCACCCGTAGGCCACTCACACCGTCCGACTTAAATGTATACGATGTATTTATTAAACAAATAATGTATTTAATACGTTCCTAGTTATTAATCCAGCCAGAGTTGCTTGACGGACAAGTTTAATAAATGAGTAAATAAGTGTCTAAATAATAACAGAAGCGAAGCAAAGCCTATTAAAGTGAAGTGAAACAGAGCAAAGTAACGCCATTTATATGGCTACTCGGTTCACAGCCAGGTGACTCCGGGCAGCTTAAAAAAATCCTTTAAAAATATGTAAAACAAACCACTTTTAAGGTTTCTCATCTCTTTCTCATTTGAATTTATCTTTTACCGACAAAGAAATAAAGGCTTGAAGATAGATTCTCAAGGTTTCTCCTTGATATTTTTCTCTCTCCCACCTCCTTGTGGTAAAAGATAAATTCAAATCCGGAAGAAGTTTTATCAAGTTTTTTGTTCTTTTCATTGTTCAGGTTTGCTAGCTTTGCTTTCCCAGAGTAGAAAGGGGAAAGCAATTAAACGCATGACATTAAACGCAGCTTTTCTGAAATAAAAAGGACAGTCCTTCCGTTATAAAGGCTCTGTGTTTTTTAATCGGTCACCAAAGTCCGTGCAGCCTAGAAGTAAAAAAAAATTGTAGTAAAAGAAGGGTAACTGGATTAAAAAGTAAATAAAAAGGAAGAAGAGGTCAAGTATTTGTTCATAGAAGGAAAAACCAGAAGGAGAAAAATCTTCCTTTTGAAATTGCATCACCGTGACTTCTTTTGCCCTTCAGTGCTTCAGTCCCTTTGAGTTGGTTCGTTTCGACGCTGTCCAAGGCGGTCCGCTAAGGGATGAGGCCGGACGGTGCCAGCGTGTGGACATAGGTGACCGAGGGAACTTTTTTTGGGTGGGTGAGGGTGGCCTCTTCTGTCTCCCCTTCCCTTCTGCCTCAGATGGCCTTGTTTCCCAGCGAGTTAAAAGCAATCCTCGGCCACCACTGGGAGCAGAATTCCCACGGCTCCCAATGGCGGCCGTCGGACGTGGCTCCTGGCCAATTTGACGCCCTGGTTTCGCTGTGGTTGCTAAACGAATCGCGGCAGGGCTTAAGCCAACCCGTGCAGTCGTTAAACGAATCCGGCTCCCCCCACCCCTCCAAATTGGTTTGGCTCGTCAAGAACCCGGTTGGAAGGGCGTAAATCGGGGACACCCCCAGGACACCGCGACCATCCGAAACACACACCGGTGGTTAGGTTTCTGAATTTGGATCGTGTGGCCTGGGGAAACGCTGCGGCGGTCATAAGTTGATGACACCGGTCGCAAGTTACTTTTTCAGTGACGTAATGTCCGAGGGTCGATAAACTGTTTCATATCGTGTACCACCGGGAGTTACCCAGCGGGAAGATGGGCGTCCCAATAAATTTAAAATTTTTTTGTTTTTTTAAAAAAAGGAACGGTCATATGCCGAGGACTAATCCGTGTGGTGGTTTTTCTTCCCATAGGGGAACCGGGACTCCTGATTTCTCCGGTGACATTTCGTAACCCGTTTCTCGGATACGCCGGGGGGCGCGAGCTGACTGAGGCAAAGATGCTACATGGCGTCTTCTCCGATGGGGACGTTTATTTCAACTCCGGGGACTTGATGGTGCAAGACGCCAAAGGGTTTATCAGCTTTTGGGACCGTACGGGAGACACCTACCGGTAGGCTGGTTTCCCGCTTGAGCCGAGCGCGAATCCTGTCTTTGAACTCGCCGGTGGTAAGGCTGGGTAGCTACTCAGCGCAGGCGAAGGCGTAGCAACACCTCGGGAGCGATTACAATTAGGGCGAAAGGGCGAATTTCCACTGCAGAGGATTCACGGGGTGTCCTCGACCTACGACCGCCTAGGGTAGTCCTCGGCTTAATGACTGTAGTCGAGCCCAAAATTGTATGTGTCGGCTGTGAATTCTGCTCCATTTTAAGACCTTCCTTGCGGTTATCTGTTAACTTAGTAGCATGGTTGTTAAGTGAAACGGTTGTTTCCTCCATTGACTTCGCTCGTCAGAAGGTCGCAAACGGGGAACCACGTGAACTCTGCAACTGTCATAAATACAAGTCAGTTGCCAAACGTCTGAATTTTGATCACGCGACCTGTAGTAGAGTTGAGCTGTTGAATTGGAAATTGGGTGATTTAGCCTCTCTGGAGGATGGCTCGGGTTTCCCATGCTGGGCAGGGATGATGGGCTTTGCGATCTAGGCCCTAGGGAGGGCGCAAGAGATTTTATATATATATATATTTTGAGAAAAATATGCTGAAATATCGTTCGATTCCAACCTTGCATCATACCCTCCCATTGGCCACACGAGGGCGCCCTTCCTTAAAGTAAAATTTTCCCAGGGATTTGATGCGATTCCGTTTTTTGTACAATAACCTCAAAATAGTTTTGCTTCACCAAAAAAAAAGTGGAACCAACCCCAAACTTTCCGTTTTTTAAAAAAAAAAATTTAAATTGATTGGTCGCTCAACATCAGCTGGCTTTGGGCAGCCAACAAAATGGCAGAGCTGAGTCAGGGTTTTGTTTTTTGTTTTAATTTGCAAATTCTTCCCTGCTGGGTTTGCAAACAAATTCCCACTGTTTTTTTTTTCCTCCTGTAGTTGGAAAGGTGAAAATGTGGCCACCACAGAAGTCGGGGAGACTTTGAGCATGCTGGACAGTTTGCGGGAAGTCACAGTTTACGGCGTGTCCGTTCCAGGTAAGAGTTAGGAAAACCAGAAAAATCTCTCTCTCTCTCTCTATCCTATCTATCTATCTATCTATCTATCTATCTATCTATCTATCTATCTATCTATCTATCTATCTATCTATCATCTATCATCTATCATCTATCTATCTATTTATCATCTATCTATCTATCTATCATCTATCTATCTATCTATCTATCTATCTATCTATCTATCTATCTATTTATCATCTATCATCTATCTATCTATCTATCTGCAACTTTCGGTCCTGTTCTTTGCCGGATTCCCCACCCCAGTTCTGCAAACTCAATTTCTTGCATTCTTGGATGGAAAATGCTTGAACGGCAAGAATGGCTGACTGTTAATTATCCCTATTAATTATCATTGAAATTGGTGGCATATAAATAAAATAAAATAAAAAAAATTTTCTGGGCTTTGCTCTGGAATTTTCCCTTTGGAAAGGCAAAGATGCCAATTTAAATCATGGATTGTTTTTTTTCTTTTCCAAACAATAGAAAGACTAGAAATTTTCTAATTTTCTTCCTTTTGTTCCTCAGATTTCCTTTCTGGCTGTTGTCTTTTTTCTTCCCCCTTTTGGTGGCGTCAAACGCCAAGGCAGGCGACCACTTACGCCTCAATCGAGGCCAATGTTTCTGTGGCTGAGCGAGGCGGTCGTTAAATGAGCTTTTTGGTCCCCTTTTTACGACCTTTCTGGCCACAATTGTTTAAAGGGAACTTTTGCAGTTGTTAAGTTACTAACACGGTCGTTAAGTGGACCCGTCTTCTCTTGTCAGAGGTTGCAAAAGGGGATCGTGTGTTTATGACGCTGCAACCATTGTAAATATGAGTCCACGTCCAAATTTAGATCCATGACAACGGTTGTAATCAGGAACGCCGCTCCCAAGTCCCTTTTTCCAGTGCATTTGTAACTTTGGTCACTAAATGGACGGTCGTAAGTTCAAAGACTTACCTGCCTTCCCTTCTAGGATATGACGGCCGGGCAGGAATGGCCACTTTAGTGCTTCAGCCGGACGCAAACTTTGACGGCCCTCAAATCTACCAGCACGTGGCCGAGCTGCTCCCGCCGTACGCCTGGCCTCGCTTCCTGCGTCTCCAGGTCAGTTTCGGGTTTGAATTCCCTCTTCCCTTCACAACGTCCCTGCGAGGGAGGCCAGTTTTTTTTTTTTTTTCCCCAGACCAGATCCGGCCGTCGTTCACACGGGGCTGATTTTTTTCTCAGGAGCAGCTGGAGATGACGGAAACCTTCAAGCAGAAACGGTTCCGTCTCGTGGAGGAAGGATTTGACCCCCGACGGATCTCCGACCCGCTTTACGTGCTGGACATCGGCGCGAGGACTTATGTCCCTCTCACTCTGGACGCCTGGACGAAGATCGCCGCGGGGGAGCTACGTCTGTAACGGACACTGTGTCAGGATTCCGGCAGTTACCCCTCCATTTAAATCCTGAGTCTCGAACCAAACTTCCAAAGGATTTATTGGGAGTTAACATGGCCAGCACTGCCTGAGTGCAGCTGACTCTGAGACCCATCATTCACTGTCACTCTTGACCCTGGTTTCCCCCCTGGGTGTATCGTAATTCATATTCTCCAATGGGACACCTCCGTAGCCCAGAATCATCCATCATATTCTCCCATTAGAACTTTGCAAGGCAGAAGCTTCGGTCGCCTAGTTACTATCTTTGAAAACATTGATGGGAATGCGCTTTCGGTTTTGTCCTCGACTTACGATGGAGGCAGGAATCGAGCTTTCTTCGCTGAGCTGGGCCGCCGTAAAAAAAAATCAAATATTTAAAATTCCCATCGTCCATCAGGCCGCCTGTTAATTTCGAAGCCTCTTCTCCCTTCCCTACCCGAGCTGATTTTACGGCATTTATTTTATTTTCCCTGGTGGCTGCCATTCAGCAAAATTGTGCAGTCGTTAAGTGAGCCCTTGTCCACAAAAAGAGCCAGAAAACCGGAATTTAAACCTCGCTTTCTGGTTAAAAAAAAAAAAAAGAGCAAATCAGGAGGCTGCCGATGGTCCCTTGCGCAGAGTGGGAGGCGTGGTCGTAATGTTGAAACTGGATGGGAAGCTTACGTCGTAGGTCGGGGATGCTCAACGGTCGTAATTCGAGGCCTGCCTGTAGTCCTGAATCCTCCTACCTCCATTCTTACACAACCTGTTCCTTGCAACGCAACTGATTTTTACAAATTGGGGCTGGATTCTCCAATGTTTCTCTTTTTTTTTCTTCTACGAGGTCTTTAAAAATCTAAATATTCTTCCTTTTATATCTGACCCACATCGCCTGCCCAGCCCCAAACCCAGGACACAAAACACCCTCTGGGGCTGGGTGATTTTTCTCACTGTTGACTGGGGGGGGGGAATCCCCTTTTTTGGGGGGCTGGGCATCGCCGGAGCTTGGGAGAGCATTTGTAACCCTAATTTCCTCCGTCTTCTATTAAATTCCTGATTGGGAGGGGCTGAGATTAGACCCATTTTAAAGATTGGGGAAACTGAGGCCCAGGTAGGAGTCACAAGCTAAGGGATGTATGTTATATGGTGGCTTCTGTTAGTATTTTGTTTTTGTTTTTTTAGGAATTGTATGTCATAACTTTGTAGTTAATCAACCGCCTAATTTGGGGTGTAAGATTTGTTAACCGTGGTTTATTTACTCTTAGTAGCTATGCAAAAGTCAGGAAAGGGCTGACCTAACCAGCATTTTTTGCACTTTGGATACAAAAACAACCCCCGTTTTCTCCCTCCACCCCAAGCAAAGCAATTGGTGGCCTACCTCGCAAGGGCAGTTTCCCCCCTTCCTTGCAATCTTGCTAGCCAGGCCGGATAAATCAATCCAGAGCTGCTCACCGTGATGCCTCGGATACGCTGAATCTATTTCAATTCCACAGCGGGGTGGGGGAAATTCAGATCTTTTAAACCAGCGATCATGTCTGTTTCAAAGTTGGGTTTTTTAAAAAAAAAAAATCTTTATTTTGGGGTGTTTTGATGGAAGAAGTTTTTGACAGGCTAGCTCTTGTTCCTGAGGACGAGAAGGGGCTGGATGGGGAATTCTGGGAGTTGAAGTCTCTTAAAGTTGTCCAGTTTAAGTAACACTGTTCTAGATGTTCACCTAAGTGCATTTTATGATTAAATGATCAAGTTAACCTGCTTGGGAAATTCTGTTTATTCCATTACTCTTCCTCCTCGCTTATTTTGTGTGTGTGTATCATATTATTTTATTTTGTGATGTAGATAGATAGATAGATAGATAGATAATGACAGATAGATGATAGACATAGGTAGGTAGGTATAGATGATAGATAGATAGATGACAGATAGATTGATAGATGATAGATAATGACAGATGATAGATAGGTAATGATTGATAGATGGTAGACATAGATGGTAGGTATATATGATAGATGATAGATGACAGATAGGTGATAGGTGATAATGATAGATGATATAGATATAAGATAGATGATAGATAATGGTGGACAGATACGTAATGATAGACTGATAGATTATAGATAAATGATATAGATATAAGTTAGATAGTTATAGATATAATTTTGCTGTTTATATCTATGTAATCATAATTTATTATTTTATTTTGCTATTTTCATTTTATTACTTGATGGAACAGCAATTCTGCCCAATGTTTTTTTTTTCTTTTTAAGGTGTAAGAGAATAGAGCAGCCGGTTTATCATAAATCACACCCTATTTTAAGGCTTTCTTTCATTCCTTTTTATTTTATTTTAGTATTTTATGGAACAGCCATTCTGCTGAATACCTCTTTAAAAAAAGAAAGAAAGAAAGAAAATGCAAGGGAACGCAGAAAAAATACGCATCGCATTTTCCTATTTAATCATTTGTATCTTATATTTTTTATTTTATTTTACCTTTTAGCTTGTTTTATAGAATGGCAATTCGGCCAAATACCACTCTTTAAAAAAAAAAAATATGGCAAGGGAATGCAGAAGTAACACAGTAGAAACAATATGCATCACATGTTATGTTATCCTTCTATTTATTATATTGTGTTCCGTTTTAATCTTTTATCGCGTATCAATTCTAACAAAACACCTTTAAAAGAAAAAGAAAAAAAGGAAGGATTTGAGAAAGACCCCACCCAGCAAAAGAATTTGCTCTTGAGACCCCAATCAATTAATGAATCGATTAGATTGATAAGGCCACTTTATTCACAAAAAGGGGACCTCAAAATTCCTCCAAGCCATTTTCCTCTCCTTGGGGTGGTCTACCTCGGAGGGTGGTTGTGAAAGCAAAACTGGCTGAAAGTGTGTGGGGGGGAATAAAAGGGTTTTGAAGCAAGCAGCATTCCAGAACCCGGGTTCAAATCTCCGTGGGTTCTCACGGCTGCAACTTTCAAACCAGAGTAGGCTGCTTAAAAACTCATTCGCTGGCTTAAAATCAGGAGTTGGCTTGCTCGCAATTTCGGTTTTTTTTCTCTCTCTCTCTTTTATGTCTCTCCTCCCCCCCTTTTGCAATTTTGGGGTGCAAGTAAAAGAAACTAGGGTCTCCTCCCTCCTCCACTTTGGATATTGTCTTCCTAGCTGCCTCCCCTTTTCAAACCCTGGCTACAAAGGGAGGGCAGAGGGAGCGGGGGGTTTGCCCCATTGTGCCTAGAGAATAGAGCCCTGGGCTTGGTGTAAGTGACACCATGAATGGACCCAGGAAAGCGGAAAAAAGAAGGGGGAAGCTACACACACACACACACACACACACACACACACATGCTCAAATCCAGGACTTTTAAACTGGTTGGGTGAGGGGGAGAAAGGGGGGTTAGGAATGGGAAGGAAAGTAGAAGAATCTCTTGGCCCCTTTGAGATTATCTCCCTGATGCTAAATTGGAAAGGGGTTTCTCTCTGTCTTTCTCTCATTTCTCTGTTTCTGTCTCTGTCTCTTTATTTCTCTCTCTCTATTTCTGCTTCTCTCTATTTCTGTCTGTCTCTCTCTCCATTTCTGTTTCTGTCTGTCTGTGTCTCTCTCTCTCTTTTTCTGTTTCTGTGTCTCCCACTATTTCTTTCTGTCTCTTTCTATTTCTCTCTGTTTTTCTCTCTCTCTCCCTGCCTATTTCTCTCCCTCTCTATTTCTGCTTCT